CAGAGTTACACCTTCAAATCCAGCTTTGAAAGGAATAAAAATGAGATTTTGATCTCCCTCTGCCTCCCAAAATAACTTCCCAAAGCAAGAAGAGAAAAAGAGTTATTGATTGACTTCCTAAAATTTTATCTTTCAATACTGTTGTTTTGTTGATTAGATTTGGTTTTTTACATAAACCTTACTAACCAGTGAATACAACAAGTTTATATGTGAACTAACATAATAAAATTTTCATTCGCATAACACAGTTCTCCAAGAGAGGGTTATGAAAAGGAGATTTCATGTGTAAATCTTTAATTGGAACTTTTACAAAATGCATTGTTCAACTCATATTAATTTTATTGTGCTTGGGATTCTAGTTCTTCGAACTTTAATGACCAGTAACTCTAGAACAGTGTTTCCCAAAGTGTGTTCCATGAATCAATAGACCATGAAGATATTATTCATATTGGATTTCTTGGTCAAAGACGTTTTTAAAAAGTGACAATGGTACCCTTTTCCTGCAGGTTCAAAATGAGTATTAAGCTAATAAGGCTCTGAGAAGTCCCAGGGTAAAGAAATTAATTTTCTTCATCTTTCTTCCATTTCTACCAATATCCTACAAAACTAACTCTGGGAAATTCTGCTTTGGGAGATATTTAAGCTACCGAGTTTTTGTTAACAACAGTACCCAAACCTACCACACAGTCAGTTAACAGTTGTCAAGTATCTTCTGTAAGTTATCAGTGCCTACGTTATTTACTGAATGAGTGAATGATATAGAACAAATCCAAGGATATGAATAATTTCCATCTCCCACCCCCAGCGATCTTATTTACAAAAGTAAAGTTCAAGACAGCCTTAAGCTGATGGGCTTTCCAGAAAGAAAAAAGAGAGAGATAATAGTAGATCACACTCCAGTTTCACCATATCCAATTTCTCTTCAGATCCTAAAGGATCTCCTACCAATGAGACAAATGTTGATGCTAAGTATGTAATAACTAAAGTGGATTTTGTGACACTGTGGGTCCAGATTAAAGAGTCAACATTTTATCTCACCTACGCTGTAAAATAAGGACAGAATCTTCCCAAGGACAAAGGCCAAGACTGAACTTGAGGAAGCCTGCAAAGGAAACACACTTTTTCTGAACTACTTCTATCAAAGGGGAGGCGCTTGATGCCTAGATTTTTTGCATCTATGCTCATAGGTCACTAAACTTTGAGATGCCTAAGGAAGATTTATTGTGTTACTATGAATGAATGAATCAGTGATCAATGAGGTGTTGATTTCGCACAGCGTTCTGAACCCAGGCGGTGTTTAATGTTAGATGTTCTTTAAAAAGTTTTTAAAATCAAACCAAATCAAAACATATCAAGTTTTAACTCTATCCAGATAAAATGTCCTCAAATCATGAAGCTAAAAGGATAATTTGGGGAAAAGAACCTTCAATCAATATATAAGACATGAAGGGGAGAGAATATTTGTGGTAAGCAGATACTATTTTTATGCAAAAATATATTCCTGCACACTGTCATATGTGGTTGTGCATTATCTGACATGACTTCTAAAACTTTGAGAAACGCGCATTCTCTAAAACTCCAGGTTGAAGAAAAGAGAAATCTA